TAACTTAAATTTTACTTTATTTCTATTCCATCTCCTCTGCAATTTTTTTTCCCGGGCCGGGCGAGGTGGCGGGTGTTTGGAGCTTTGAGGGATGTAATCGGAGTAAATAATTATCTAAATTTCTGCTCCATCTTAATAGTGTTAGATGCTCTCTAAACTTTCCATTCGATGCTCTCCCCAGTTCCAAACGCACTCTTAATCCTTGATTATAATATAATAAGAATCAAAAACCCTAAACCCTAAATCCTAAACCCAATAATCATAAGAATCAGTTTCCGTTCCTTTCAATTAATCTAGTGGAAAAAGCGCAATGAACTACACTATAAACTTTAGCTACTTACCAAAACCAGTACACGCAACAGGATAACACCAAACTAGTTTCAAAACCCTGAAATAATTGGCATAAACACCGATTATAGTAGCGATATAAAAGCATACATATTAGCTGATGGAAGCGAATCCAGATAAGCCTTCTCGAACTGGAGCGGGCGCTTGGGACGGGCACGGGGCGCGGGTCCAGGTCCGACCATTGGCTCTTCCTCGCCATCTGGCGCCATCGAGTTAGCATCGCCGTTCTGTGGTTCCTCCATCTTCTTGACTGGTCTATGGTTTATGCCCGTTAAAAAGATTGTCCAACAGAGAAGATTAAGAAAAAAATGAAAACCTACCTCTAGGATGACAGAGAAGAGAGAGAAAGATGATTTGCAGGAACAATAAAGCTATGGCGGCGGGAACCCTTTTGCCATAATGTATTTTTGGGGAGTGGGAAGATGAATTCTAATGGCCACTATCATGTTAAAAGCGGCTTGTTTTTCAATTCGAAAAAAAAAAAAAAGGCTTTCAAACACTTTTATTTTATGCTTATAACTTTAGAGACGAGTTCTGACAAAAAAAAAAGAATAATTTTTAGGTTATTAAATAATTTTAAGAAGATAAAATATGATTTTTTATTTTTTATTTTTTATTTTTTTATTATTATTCGAATATATTAACTTAAATATCTATTTAAAATTAGTATTAATAATAAGTAATATAATTATTATGTTTAAATATTAAAGTGGGTTCTTTCTTTAAATTTTTTAAAACATTTTAGCGAAAATCAATTATCTTTTGTCATAGAAGGAATGTTTTGTCTCTTCCTTTTGTTTTTATTTTTTTAGACTTAAAGTTCTTTTTGGATAAAATGAGTACATAATTTAGTGTTTATTTCTATCTCAATTATATTCGCTACAACTTTTATAAAAATTCTGAATGTTCGTCAAAATTTTATTTTTATAGAGTTTTTGCAGTTATTACTACTGTGTCAGAGTCATTAAAAAGTGTGTGTGTATTAATGGGTACTGGTAACTAAAATGTGTTAAAACAATTATTTTAATTATGAGTTTAGTGTGGTATGCAATTCTATATCACCCTAGATGAAATGAGTAAGATAGAAAGTTTTTTTAG